ATATATATATATATATAATATAGTTTATATAATTATATATATAGTTATATAATTATATAAAATGCTTATGTATATATGTATATCTATACACATACACATATATACATTCAGTCATACCAATATTACCAATGTATACATAATTACACATTGTGTATTAATTACATACCATGACCACAATTTTTTTATTGACAAAAAATGCGTAAATAATTTTTGTTCTTATTTATCCTATATATATACGGACAGAGATTATATAAGAAAAAGAAAACTTATATATTTCTTTCTAATATAACATATACAATGATTGGGCCAAAAGTCTCGGGCTACCTGAATAATTTCTTAACGGTTTAAAATATAGGATTGAAATTAATACAACGGAATCAAAAGATCTATCATTGAACCTCAAAAAATATCCACTATACCATTCTTGAGGGAGAGGAGGGAAGGTGTCTTCAAAATCTTAAACGGCACATGAGGTCGTGTGAGGGCTTTTCGAGACGAGAACAACGCGGATTGATTGAGGTCTCTAAAATTTATTTTGCAGATTTATAATTATTTGAACATTGTTATTCAGAAGAAAGAATTACATTTCTTGTGTGAGCGGGTGTGTGCGAGTGTGTGTGTGTGTGTCTGGGTGTACGCGAGCGCGCGCTCAACTTTTGGTTTATCTTTAATTAAACCGGTTTTTTAGAAACAGTAAATTTTGAAATCAGATATGGTAATGCTAATGCCGGCAGTATTGTAACTTTCAATTCCAATACATGTGAATAACAATGTTCAAGTAATCATAACTTTGCGAAATAAAATCTTAGAGACCTCGATCAGTCCGTGTTGTTCTTGTCTCGAAAAGCCCTTTCAAGTGTCCTTTCGGGTGCCTGCAATTGACCCCATTTGCCATTTAAGATTTTCTAGCCTTCTTCTCTCCACTCCCCCGAGAATATTTAAGTGGATGGCTTTACATATAAAGAAGTGATTTTGTATTTTAAAGCAGTTAAAAGAATAGACAGTATACAGAGTTCTAAAGCGAGTCAGAATGATAGAAATCTTAATCTGTAAGATCTTGAACTTTTACACTTATTGTTAGTATCTCGGTTCACAAGGCCAACCGCCGCTATTTTTGTCAGATTCTTTCATTTCTGGTAAAAACACGCCGAAAGTGTGTTTTTATCATCATTTTATCGTGCGGCTGTTGGCTTATGTAACAGATAAGAGATATTATTTCTTAAACTTTTTTTGTTCGAAACTTTTTAATATATGAATAAGGTCAAACGGTTAAAATTTATACCTCAAGACCATGACCTTGTCAACATATATCAAGATGTTTGGGAAATCTCTCCGAAACCCTATATTTATTGGTGAGTACTTTTGAGGATCAGTGACAGAATTTATGATCCCATTGTATCTGTATAATTTCGATCATATACCTCGAATCATTCAGTAATTATTCAAATGATCCGGGAATGTTTGCGGGCACAGTGCATAACAGAACATTTTATACATATCTACATGGCTAATTAAAAAATATAGCTTAACCAATGTACAAATAACATTAAATATTAGTACGTGTAATACTTGATGTATGCTATTACCTTATTTATTTTATCTAATTTATGCTCAATTTCTTTATTTCAAGATTAGTTACAGATAACATTATTCACGTATTCTATTCTAGGAGATCTCTCCTGGATAAAGGTTGTTTGAAAATGAAGAAATTGAGCTTTAGACAAACTCATTTCGATTTTTCTTTACTCCAAATATTATTGGTCGGTTCTTACATGCAAAGTACTTTCTTCACTTATGAATTTATATATATCCTTTAAATTAATTTTAAGAATAGATGCTATATCCTCCATAGTTTGTGGAAGCATCTTGGACTTCTTTTCCAGGGAATGGAAGTAACTCGTTACTTGTAACGAAGTTACAGTTACAAGTTACTTTTTTGGTAACTTTACTGGTAACTGCGTTACTTTCTTTTTTTGGTAACTGTAACGGTAACGAGTTACATTTTTTGGGTAACGGTAACGAAATTTACAGTTACTTTTGTCGTTACTTTGCACACGATTGAACACGGTTCGATTGGATACATGTCATTATAGCGCTTATCAATAAGACTTGAAAGCCCTTAGGCATTCGGCCGTCATGATTGGTGGTCGTCCAATCCAATTGAAACATGAGTTGAGAGTTTTCACTGAGCACGTCACACGACGTGTTGTCGAAAGAAAGAAAAAGAGAGGTTGTATTTATATATAAAATTCTCTCTTTCTCTTTCTTTCACGACGCGACGCGTGACGCGTTCAGTGGGAACTGGGAACTCAGCCAATCGGGATCCTGCCTTATCCCGCGTGCTTGCCGCGGCGCTTTTATCGTGGCGCACATGTGAATGTTTTTCAACGTCACGTGCTCAGCGCAGGTCGAAGCCTGCAGCGTCCTGTGGTATTTAGTGGTATTCGATGAATCTTGTGGTCTGGGACGGACGCGTTTTTCGGGTGCTTTTATTTGTGTATATTTTTGAAAGTGTATCCGTGGTCTGGTTCGTTCATCCTAACGCGCATTATTGCGGTGTCCGCAAATGCAGGCATCCAGTGTTCGTTCGGGCAACGCTATTTTACGGTTGCATTAAATTTTTTTGGTAGCGGTGCCGGCTTTGACTGTGTGACGAAATCCAAACGTACAAGAAGGACTGAAGAAGAAGCGTACGAATAAGAGTAATAAGATCTAGTTAGACGTTACGACGTTATTAGATACGTCCTGTTCCGATAATTGCTCAACCTTTACATGTAAGTATTATAAGTTTTCTCTGCTAAATGCTGTCAAAAAAACGACATTTATGTTGACCATTTTCGGTTGCTTACGGCCCGTATTCCGAACGTGCTTTTATCGATAAACACGCATTTTTATTTCTGAAATTCTGTAGTATACGTAACGTGAACTATATGCTAAATATATACTGTTATCTGTTATCGTAAAAGCGCGTTCGAAATGCGGGCCGTAGCAACCGAAAATAGTCAACATAAATACAGAGTTTTTGCAATACCGTTTATCCTTGATACGATGAACGCTAAAGTCACGTTATCCTTTTCTTAATTAGATGTGAAGAAATATCGTTTTTTGACGCATTGCACTGGCAATGTTTTCGGAATTGTTTTCTTTGTTGTTATTAAATTAATTAAATGTTAAATAAATAGTGTGATCCGTTTCACGCATAATTTGTCATTTTATTCTTTTTCAATATGAATAAAATGATACATGTGTCCAGCATATCATGTGTATCATGCGTGAAATGGAACACACTCAAGGTCAAAGTGAAACACAGTTTAGATGGGAAACAAAATAATTTAACATTTTCATCCCTAATCTAACCTAGTTTTATTTTCTTAATTATATCATATTATGTTTCTGTTGCAGTTTTTTTGTATCGAAAACAATGGAATCCAGTGAAACAGATGAAATAAATAATAAGATGCCATGGCCGGCATATTCTGAAATCTTTAAATTTGATTCAAAGTTGAGCAACGAAAAAAATTATGCATTTGTTTGCAAATTTTGCTTTGGGCAAAAAATTATTCATGCGAATAAAACTTCTACAGCGAACTTGAGGAAACACATAAACGTGAGTTTAATTTATTTATATAAATGTTTAGAAATATTTTTAAGATTATTTTTCAAGTTGCCTTGAAACTGAAAATCAAGGTCAATTTGGTTTTTCTCGCTTATATTTGGTCTTATCAATCGATTTTTAATTAATATTGGCCATTTTTATAAATAAAATTATACAAATAAAAAGGGGCAAAGAGTCGATAATATAACAAAATAAACGTTTAATTTAAAAATAATGATAATACTATAATAAAATAAATAAAAATAATAGAATATTCACTTATTTGATTTTAATGAATTTATCTGTATTGTATTGTAACACTGAGAATGTAATATTCACTTATTAGATTTATATTGTAACATTGAGAATGAGACTCGATCAGAGTCGAAACGTCTGTACATACATATATTATTATTATTTAAATTAAACGTTTGTTTTGTTATATTATCGGCTCTTTGTCCCTTTTTATTTATATTGTTTTATACTTACAGAGCCTTATATTAATTATTATTTATAAATAAAATTGTTTTTTTACATAACACGATTCCTTTAATTACTTTGTGCATATATAATGGTACTAAGATACGGTTACAAAAAACAGAAAACAGTTTACGAAATATTTTATATTTTATGTTAAAATGTGCTAAAATTTACAATAAAATATAAAGTAATTTTGTAATTCACTTAAAGTACATTTTCACGAGCCGCTCTAACCGACAGTTTCAGCAACAAAAAGAATCACGTGATTAAAATTGACGAATATTAAGCGTCAATTTTGATTACGTGATCCTTTTTGACCAGTTAAAGTGGCTGAAATTGTACCTTTATTCTAATATTCAGGTACGGCTTTGAATCAGCTTCTCAGCTGTCGTGTTGTAACTAATGTGTGATATCAAATTATTGTATTTTATTAACAGTGAATTCAATAAAGTTATTATTATTATTAGTATTAAGTACTTATGTCATAAAGTATTGATTTTTTTTATAATTTTACATCAATACTTTTATATTCAGAATAATTAGAGAAGAATGATGTTATGTTTAAAAAGTATAATATAAATTTATTTTTAAAAAAGCTATAACTTTCGTGCGACTTCGAAAAATAGATCTTTTCGAAAATTAATTTTACCATTATTTATGTCCTTTTGTACCATGTATTCCTTTAATTCGATTTTTTTTTCTATAAAATACGCAATTTAAAAAAAAATATTTAGATAGAAGCATTAAAAGCTCATCGCGTGTATGATAAAAATGAAGATATTATTATAATATAATTGTGATCTTTCTCTACCAATTAATAAAATTGCGCTATACCAGAAAAATAATTTTTTTTTAAATTTTTTACTTTTTTTTTGTAGATTTCCAAAGAATTTATACAATTCCATAAGTTCTACATTGAATCAAATCAGCAACATAGAATAGTAGGTATAAAAAAGCGTGACATGCAAAGTATGGTTAGATTAACAATCAATTAGCATATATTTTCTTTTTTGCTATAAAAGAATTTTTATTATTCTATTTATTTTAAAACAAAGTAAATATGATAATGAAATCGGCCGATGACGGTCAAGCAAGATTTTGGTTGCTAATATAATTTATATTAGCAATATAATAAATTATATTAGCTAATATAATTTATATTAGCAACCAAAATCTGGCTTGACCGTTATCGGCCGATTTCATTATCAAATTTACTTTGTTTTCAATATCGACGATCCTACACAAATCTTAATTCTATTTATTTTGAGCGCATGTAGAAAAGAAAGTCTTTTTGTGTCAAATCCTCCTTCAGTAAAAATATCAGTACAACAAAAATTTTCAAGTTTCAGTATGTAATTCTTTTATAATTACTTTTTCAACATTTATTATTTGTGCGTTTATTTTAATCTTCAACTTATTATTATTTATTGTTGTTTAAATATACATATAAAGTGTTCCATTTCAATTGTTCCACGTACATATTTCGAAAAATATGGAAAATAGGAAAAAATACTTCAAACAAAAGTTGTATGGCTTGTAGAATAAATAATATAATTTAATTTAAAAAATAGAATGATATTTATATGATTTTAAAGAATTAAATGTTTTTATTATTTGTTTCCCTTTGTAGATCGTACAATTTTTGCTTGTGTTGAAACGTTTTTTTCGTTTCTTCCATACTTTTCATCTAAGCATGTTTGTCTGGGATAATTAAAATAGAATATTTTAGTGGGATTATGTTATATTGAATTATATTGAGAAATATATTATGACAATGTATAAAAAAAGGCAACATCCGATCAAAGCAAGTCGTTTGATTTAATATTTTTGGCTTAATATTTTTATGCGAATTTTTGGTTTAAACAAATCGCGCTATATTTTAATTATAAATTTTTAAAGTAATTTGGAAAATATACTACGATTTATTTTCTTGTTTGTTAACAAAATAGTAAAATACTATTATTTTTTATAAATAAGGTTTTCTTAAAAGATCTCCCTTAACAAATACTTTTAGCACTCAATACATTTTTATTATTTCATATTTGTTTCATTATTGTGTATACTTACTAATACTATACATTACATATTACACATGAACATATTATATAATATTTTAATTAGTTCATATTAAATTAATAGGCAAAACATCCACATTACATTAAAAAAATAGACGAAATCAAAGATCAACTTAAAAATAAACGTCAAAATGAAGACGAATCTAAAAATGTTATGAAAAAACAATTAGTCCTAGAAAAATGGGAATCTAGTAAAATAACTCAAAAAAAAGTGGATACTGCTATATTGAGATTTGTTATTGAAACTGTTCAGCCCCTCTCACTAGTAGACAACCCTGCATTCATTGATCTATTTAAAATCGGACTGCCTTCATCAATTCGAATAATATGCACAAAAACGTTGCGAGAAAAACTTATTCAATCTTATGTTGATATGAAATCTGCACTTGATAAAAAATTATCTAAAATAGACATATTGTCAACTACAGCAGACTTATGGAGTAAAGCAAAGAGGTAAATACGATCTTGACATTTAATTTTTTTATTAATATTTTATTTTTTATGAAGATGTATTTTCTTCTTTAAAATTTTATTATAATTAAATTATATCTCTTAATTTTTTACAGAAGTTATTTAGGAATAACTGCTCATTGGATTGACGAAAGAACTTTAAAAAGAGAATCAGCCGCACTGGCTTGCCGTAGAATGAAGGGAAAGCATTCATTTGATGTTTTGGCAAGTGCTATTAATTCCGTGTTCTTGGAATACCACATACAAAATAAAGTGTGTTGCACTACAACAGATAATGGTTCCAATTTTGTTAAAGCATTTCGGTAAATTAATATTTTATAATAGTCTGCATAATTTTACATATATTCATTTATTTATTATTATATTATTTGTTTTTTTATTTATTATTAATTTATTTTATTTTATTTATTTTTTTCCTAAAACTTTTTAGAGAATTTGAGAAAGATGAAATTGACATTAACATAGAATTCCATGATTTAAATAATTTACTAACTATACATGAAACAAAAGATATAGAAGCAGAAGATTTGGAATTCATTACTCTTCCGCCACATCATAGATGCGTTAGTCACACATTAAATCTTATTGCGGTCAAAGATGCCGATAAAGCTTTAGATGATATTTCATATAAGAAAAAATATAGAGTAACCTTTGCCAAACTGTCAAAATTATGGAATAAACAGAATCAGTCCACACAAGTGGCAGATAAAATTAAAGAAAATTGTGGGGTATATTTAAAAACTCCCGTTATTACAAGGTAAATAAACCTTTTATTATTTCTTTTTATTTCTTCTCAGTTCTTTACATAGAATATGTATAAAATAAAACTTATTTTTTTAATAGATGGAATTCAACTTTTGATTCCGTTTATCAATTGGTGACTCTTTTGAAAGAAGACTCAGATAAGATAAATCAGTGTTTGGATTTTTGTAACTTACAAAGATTAACAAATAATGAAATTAAATTTTTAGATGAATATTGTCAGGTAAGTTATATACTTATACATGTAATTTATCAAAATACTTGTGTATATACAATAAAAAGCATATCTTTTACTATTTTCTCGGATTAGGTAATGGAACCTTTGGCAAAGGCATTAGACATCTTGCAAAGCGACATTGGTATGTACATGGGATATTTGTTACCCGTCTTAAATAGTTTGCAAGAAAAACTTCTAAACATTGAGCATCAATTAATGGATTGCCGTTCTTTAACTAAAGCCATTCAACAAGGTTTAAATAAAAGGTAAACTATTAATCAGTTTAAGTTAGAGATAAAAAGAAAAGTAAATATATATAACTTTGAAGTATCATTGTAAAAATACAGTGTAAAAATACAAACACAATCAGATTTTTAATATATTACTTTATAAAATTTTAGATTTTCTACAACATTTGAAAATAAAGAATTAATATTAGCAAGTTGCTTACATCCTAAATTTAAGTTAAATTGGCTAAATGGGGAAAAGAAGAAACAAGCTGAAAGTTATTTACGCGATTTACTAGGCATTTGTTCAAATGATAATTCTCCGAATTCAAGTAAAAGCGATGAGCACGATGATTTTTTCAATTTTCGACATTCAAGATTAAATAATGAGTCCGGAGAAAAAGAATTAAATAATTTTTTAAAGTCCAAAAGAACTGACCTTGAATTGTTAAATAACTTTCCGAAATTGAAAAAACAATTTATTAAATTTAATACGACTTTACCAAGCAGTGCATCGGTTGAACGAATGTTTAGTATGGCTAATTTAGTACTGACTCCTTTAAGAGGTCACCTAAATGACGATATTATAGAATATCAACTTTTGTTAAAAATTAATAAAGCGTATCAATAGATTAATGAGTTTTATCAGGGTTGCCGGAAGTCAGGGAAAGGTCAGGGAATTGGGAAAATGCGTCAGGAAAAGTTAGGAATTCAGCACACTCGTCAGGGAAAATAGAATGGCTGTAAATAAATTTATATTGCCTTGTGCTTCTATGATTGGTTTGGACTACCTTTTTTGTTTTTTTTTTTTTGGAATTTGTCTCCTGAAGAAATTGTCTATGTTACATTGCTGGATCTGCATAATATTTAAAATTGTCCGTGTCATTGTAAAAATACAAGGGAGATTGCAAAATATGTATACTTCAAAGTCAGGAAAAATCTGAAAATTTTGTCAGTAAATTAGGGAAATATCAGGAAATTTGACGATTAAAAATTTATGGCAACCCTGTTTTATAAAAACTCTTAATTTTAATTGTAATCGTTCTAATACTTTCTAGGGTGCGTTCCACTTAACGTTCGCAACGCTCGCGAGTATCATTTTGTCCTTCTTGTAATCGAATATTAAATAAGGATGAGATGATAGACGCAATCGTTGCGAACGTTAAGTGGAACGCACATTATTATCTATATTTCTGACATTTCTGTATTTACAAAACTTCTATTATATATTTTAATTGCGTTAGTTATAATAGCGTTAGTTATAATTTTCTTTTTATAAAAATATTTGATTACAAAGTATAGCTTACATAAAAATATAATAAAGAGTTATAATAAAGTGTTCTATATATAATAAAGAGATTATATATGTGTATTGCTTTATTTTCTTTTTAATCTCTAACTTATATTGTGATTCAGATAATCCTATACAATCCTATATAATCTTATAGTTTTTTACAAAATATAAAATAATTCCTGAAATATTTTTAACTGTTAACTGTAGCGATTCTGAAGTGATCATTGACAGCTGAGAAATATATATAGTATCACTATTTCAGTAATTATTTTACACTTCTATCTTCTATGTAAGTAATGTATCATACATGTAGGTCATACAAATGTTTCAGCTTGCTGCATATTTTACAGGTTTTAGAATTACAAAATTATGTTTAAAAAAATTAAAAAATAAATTAAAGTATAATAAAATGAGAAGGGTTACGACAAAAATGAATTATTTTTAAAACAATAAAACTATATATTTGTCAGTGTTACATTAAAAAAAAAATATGTAAAAGTATCTTTTTAGATTGATTTTAAAAAAGTAACGGAAAAGTAACGAAAAGTTACCTTTCGAGTAACGGTAACTGTAACGAGTTACTTTTAAAAAGCGATAACTGTAACTGTAACTAGTTACATTTTTTACTCGGTAACGAGTAACTGTAACTAGTTATTTTTAAAAAGTAACTTTCCATTCCCTGTTCTTTTCTACAATAGCTGTAAACCCTGAGATCGCTTGTCCACGCGTCTCTTCCAATTTGTACAAATCGTGAAATATTGGATACGCAAATGTTGACGCACAATATTCGCGGGCAAATTCCAAAGCAGGGTAAACCATTTTTAACCATTTATTTCTTATGTACAAACGTAACAAAAGGAACCTACAAAATATATGTGAAATATAAGTGTTGCCTAATTGCATATCAGTCTAAATATAGATTATCGTGTTTACCGAATTTGACATGTTTGCTTCCCAAATGGAAATATACAGTCTATCCACATTAATTTTCCAATCGGTAAAGCTATCGGCTATGCATATAAGTAATTTAAGAAATACATTTTATTAATATTGTCACATAATAATATTTCAGTCAACTCGGAAGAAAATTTGTCAGTCGTATTTGTCGTGATCCACTGTTGTGTTAATATGTCACATTGATTCTGCACTGAATCATACAGACGGTCATACATAGAAACTAAATTCAATTTGTAAAGCCACTTATCCAATCTAGATATTAATATCTAAAAAATATAAAAAATTATTGTTCATTAATTTAATGAATAAAAGTTACTGAAAGATTCTCATTATTTTTTCTTTACACGAAAAGATGTTACCTCATGTTTGCTATCAAAATAAGAAAACAGATGATCCTTCCAATCAATAGTGTCTATACTTTGATAACAAAATGTTTGCATATAATGCTTAAGATATTGTAATATAGTCTCATCTGTAATGTTAGCGCACACAGTATAAAAAATAATGAAGTAGAAATGGAGAATTGAATGTAGCAGTACAAATACATATATGTGTAAGTGCAAATTATATATTAATTTACTTATAAAGTCCGTAATCCTATAAACTTGTAAGAATGTAAATTGTTATTATCAATCAATCTATTCAACATATGGTTTTTATTTTCCATCTAAATGAAATTATTGTAATTTACCTTAACATCAAGATCAAAAAAGATTCTTTTTCGCATAAATATTGTTTGATTTAGAAAATGATACCTAGATCGCAAGATTTTACTAGAAATGAATATACTAAAACTTTTAATCAACCACAAATATTGGAAATTTTTACAAGTGACTAAACCTCTTGCCCAGCTTTGGGCAATTTTTCGAGCAATCGTATCATACATGAAAATGGGATCTTCATCAAGTAATGTTGATGACACAAATATCATGGTACGACATTGACGCGATCTAGAGAAGCTATCAGCATGAGGACTGTGTGGCTCCGCGGCGAGACTGTTGCTTGGTAATCTGGACGACTCCGAGGCCTCGGTTCAAGTCCCGGCACCGCGCCACCGGTGGAGAACGCTCTGATATTTTTCTAGTTACTTATTTCTTACACCTTGCACCAGCATCAGTGCATCTGCCAGTGACACGACGAGAAAACGGGGCAGAGTTAGTTCTCTGCCTCCGTCGAGCGTTCTCGACAGTCGTGCGCCAGCGCATCCTTGTATCTACTGGCAATCGGCGAGAAAACGGGGTAGAGCGTTTCTCGATTGCCCTTTGTAAGAAATTTATCTAGAAGATCTAGCGCAATCTAGAGGAGCTATCAGCATATCAGGGCTATTGCGGCGAGACGGTTGCTTGGTAATCTAGACGATTTCGAGGCCTCGGTTCCAAGTCCTCTCCCCCGGCTCCGGTGGAGCGCCCTGATATTTTTGTAAGTGTTATCGCTTATTTTTTTATACCTTACACCATTCCGTGATCTGATAGGTAGAGCGTTGTTCTCTGTCTCCGCCAAGCGTTGTGCATTCGCATCGCTATCCTCGCCGTCAATCGTTTCCCTCGTTGCATCGGGGAAACGCACATAGATATCTCGACACCGCCCGCTGGCGTATACCCGCTTTCGCGAAATCCGCATCTGCTCGCGCGCCGAGGGATTTAAAGATCCCGACGCGATTTCTGCTGTGTACGAGCCGCTCAAGGGCCGGGTAAAGCCACTCTAGAATTAAAAAAGAATCATTTTTTTGTTTTTTGCTTAAATGATGCTTTAAGATCTTACAAGGGAGGTTAGGCAACTCAAAAATTCAAAAAATTCTGAAACTTTGTGTGCGAGTATAGTTCATCCGTAACACAAAACTATTTTCTGTTGGTGCGGAATTTCACTCTAAGGGGGTGAAAGACCCCTTTGAAAAAAATAGATTTTTTCCTTTCGAAACGACGAATATCTTCGAAACTATAAGAGATACAATAAAAAACTTCCAATATAAAAATTGAATGATTTCAAGAGAAGTAAAATAAAAAGATTTATTTATTTATTTCAATTCAATAAATAAATAAATAAATTTTTTTATTATATTTCTAAAGTACTCTTGAAACCATTCAATTTTTATATTGGAAATTTTTTATTGTATCTCTTATAGTTTCGAAAATATTCGTTTCGAAAGAAAAAAATCTATTTTTTTCAAAGGGGTGTTTCACCCCCTTAGAGTGAAATTCCTCACCAACAGAAAATAGTTTTGTGTTACGGATGAACTACTCTACTTGCACACATGCACACAAAGTTTCAGAATTTTTTGAAATTGAGTTGCCTAACCTCCCTTGTTAGAAATAAGGTACAAAAGGTCTTATAGCGAAGAAAAATCTATTCTCACATTATTTTGTATATATTTAATTAATGAATGATGTATAAATGATTTTTATTATGGAACGAAACGCACACCGATAAATTCTGTGTCAAGATTCAAATAACAATTAATACTATGCATACGAACGCCAGATGGCGTACTACATAGGCGGATCAGCTGACTATTCTTTCAAGTGCGGTACGTCACTAGGATTGTTTATGAATAGATATATGAAAATTAGCTTCTGTTAAATATTAACCATATTAACCAATGTGTTTGTGTGAGGCACAACCGGTTTACGACCAACTCGAATGCAGACTGAACGATGATGTTGGTTCAATGCAAATCACTGAGACTTTCTCTTGTCTGACGACCGAGAAAGAGGAACGAAGGTTCTTTGTAACATATGCCGTAATAAAAAAATAATTGTTACGTTAACAGAAGAGTGAAAAGTTAACTCCTGAGCGTGACTGCGCATATTTCACCAAAATTACAGAAAGAGAAGACTCGTCAGTATTACAGATCATAGAAAGGAAAGACTTCTTCCTAGGTACGTAGAATTGTTTGTATAATCAAGTAAAACGCAAAGAAACGTGCATGTGATATCAAAAATGAATACAACCGAATACAAGAATAAAAATAATTCTTTTTAATATACCTGTATCTCTATGGTACCTATTACAAAGATTATTTATCTTGGAACAATTATATTATCTTAATTGATTTTGCTTTTGTCTAAAAGTATGCTTTTTTAAGAATTATTTATTATAATTTTTTACTTAAATTTTTTAATATTGGGACAAAAGCAAGGACTTTAATATTTATTTTTCTTATTTATATTTCTTTTTTTTTTTAAGTATTTTCTTTAATAGATAAGAAATAGAAAAGTATGGAGGATTGATCTATTTTATCGTATCAAGTTCTTATTTTGTAAGAAATTATAGCATACATTTTACAATTTTTATTGCAGTAAACGGAGTAAACCAATAGCCAAATTATTCAGCACCTCAATTCTTTCTTTTTGTAAATAAATAAGAAACATAAATGGATCTTTCACTTATAAACAATTATTTGGAAACATATTCTGGCAGAGATAAGATGTTAAGGACTTTGTCTTATACTGCAAAGTTGCTTACTGTATGTACTTCATCTAAAAGTGCCGAAAAAAAACTAAAAACCTTTGGAAGCCAGATGAGCGAATGCAGAGTGATGTTGCGCTTGCTAGATGATCTTCAGGCACTTCACTGCGTGATGACATATGGATGGGGAAAGCAGGTATTTCTATTAATTTAACATGAATTAATTACACACAGTTAAAAATTAAGAACATGATTATATAGCTAAAAACTAATAACCAGCTCAAAAACACTACATAATGGAAATTGCGTTATTTTTTAGAACCATTTAAATTTCATATGTAATCTAATAACAGGAACCTGATTGGTTGGTTAGATGGAGCCAAGTGATACAAAATATAGTAGACATTGTTTATTCTCCTATAGAGCATATTGCTTGGGCTGGTCAGCATAATATTGTGTCAATTAATAATAACAAATGGGATCTTGCTACAACTTGGCTTTGGATAGTTTCTCTACACCTGTCATTATTAAAGTAAGCAAAAATATGTTTTTTAATACAGTGTACTCCTTTAAATATTTTTATAATTTTGATGAAGAATGCAAGCTATTTTACTTGTATATCAAAACAATTCTATAATAATTATTATTTTCTTAGAAATATACACATTTAAAAGATAAAATGTAAAATATTTTATTATTATTTCAGATTATTGAGATTATTACAAAAGCTACAAAAATATAAAATAGGATTAGAAAAAAGTAATACTAGTACACAGTGAGTATCTTATCACATTTGTGATAATATAAAGTTTTAAATATGATTTTATCTCAGTAATATTCTTTAAAAAAATATGTAACATTATGTATTTGTTTTTTTTTAAATACAGAATGTTGGAAGATTTTAACGAGCAACGACGAAATGCACTATTGACATGCACACGTATAATGCTAGATATTTCTTACGCAATTAGTTATTTACCACCAGGAGTACTTTGGGGAGGACGTTTAAAAACGTGGCACGTTGGTGCACTTGGTACAATATCGTCATTAATTGGACTTTATCAAGCTCTTAGCCGCTATATGAAGTTGAAAATACATGCATAATACATTTTAATTATTTTAATTGGGAGAGGTTTTGTTGATTGCGAAATGTATGGGTAAATGTGTTGTATATATTATAAAGCCTGATCTACAAGTGCTTTTTGTTTCCTGTTTTTTGCTGTTTGTCTCTTGCCTTCTTGATCAAAAAGGTAAGAGACAAACAGCAAGAAATAGGAAACAAAAAGCACATTGTAGATCAGGCTTAAAGCCTATACTACAATGTGCTTTTTGTTTTCAGTTTCTTGCTTTTTGCTATTTTTCATATTTCGTCTTTTAGTTTTTCATCCCGTTTTTCGTTTTCTATCGCCCGAGATAAAAGCTAACGAACTTCGGAAGAAACAAGAAACACAGCAAGAAATACGATTGTCGATAAAACAGTTGCAAAGAAGTAAAAAGCAAAAAACAGGAAAAACAAAGAGCACATTATACAACAGGCTTAAATGATTGTGTTGTGTACATATATTGTTCAAATAAAACATTAATACGGACTAAAAATATCTTATATATTTTTCTGGTAGCTTTGATGATCTTTTAAAATAATGGTTCACTATTCAAGAGAAATATTTCGCATTTCTACAATATAGATTTCATTCCGAAATAAAAAAATATTTCAATCTTCTTCGTTTGCAATTTTATTAAATATTACATACATGTCTGTAAAAAAAATGATTTATTAGTTCGTATACAATAACGTATACATAATTGGAATTCAATGGAAGAATAAGAAAAGGATTTCATCATTGTACTTATCTAATAATACATTACTCTATTTTTGTTAAAAACAATTCGTATAAATAAACTTCAATCCACTTTCAAACTTTTTTTTAAAAAAAAGAGCCTTATCATTATTAGGACTTTTATTAAATAATACTAAATGTGCAAAACTTTCTCAATAACAATAACAAATCATATTATACGAGAAAGATAAGTCTAAACTTTGTAATTAACACTTAAAATAATGACTAGTTAGTTTCAAATCTATTTAAATTTAACTTTTCCACAAATATCGTACGTACGATAACATCACGACTGAAATATTTAAGATTAAATATGAACCATGAGTGAGACTTAAATCGGATATATAAGTACCTTGTACATACATATATATATATATTTCTTTTTCAGATGAAGATTTGTTTTCGAATTATTAGTTCTTTGGTTTACGCATAATACAAGTGTTATAAAACTTGTTTTATATATTATGTACAGATAATTGTATCGTTAACTCCTGAACATTATTAATAAAAGCTAAAAGATAGGAGAGGCACTTTTCATCTGAACTTAAACTGAAATACTTTGGAACTCTTATCCATGATGCAATCTATCATTACATCGTGGTTTACAACTAATCGGAGTTCGAGTACGTCAATATTACATCACATTTCTCTTTATCCCAATCTTATTTAATTTATTCAAAAAGAATATTTCTCTTTATACTAAACATTTTTTTTAATGAAATAAACTATATATATATATATATATATATATATATTCTAATCCGGCCAATGAAGCGTAGATCTTTTGGTCTAATTCCGTTAAAAGTTCAACATTATGCACACACATTGTAAATTATACATGGCTTAAAAAATAATTTATTTTGCCATATAAACGAATTTATAAGGATTACGTTAAAAGGCACGACTAATTGAAATCTCTTCAAACAGTATGCTGTAGAGTAATTAAAATTTCTCTCCAATAAAACACCTTATCGAGATTACAATCAGTAATACTGTTGTTGCATAGAATAATTTACAGATTAAATGTCTTTGAAATATATCCGAAATGCTTTGAATATACGTGTATATATTTGATATCGATATAAAGTATATATGTATTTTGTAATTTTTAAAGCACTTTTTTTCAAAAATTGTTTATATATGTAGCAACCATGTTATCATTTATGAGTCATATACAATGATATATATGTATATGTATTTAATCGAATATATATAATAAACCATTCATAAATATTTCTCAGAGAATATTAGCTTTATATTTAACTGCCTCATGCAAATTCATTATCACTCGAGATAATTTTAGCTTCCTTTCAGTAAGTTTTGCATTGTAATATGTTATGCAGTTTTGTTGCAGATTAAATATAACACCCTCATTTTTTTCTATCAGCTATTACTTTTTCTTAACATTTTAATATTATTGACATTCCCGCTAAAATAAATGTGCGTGTGCATACGTAACAATGAAACTCTAAACAATTAAACATTACTTTAACATGAAAATAAACAAATTAAGAACGTGAAATATGAATAAAAAAAAAAGAGGATTGCTATAAGATTGTTTAAACGATATAATAAATATTTTTAGTTTGATGTTAATATAAAAAGATTAAAATAAAAATGACATATTTACTTCAGTAGATTATTTTTTAAATCGCTTATGATCAAATTGATTTTTATTAATCAGTTAAAATTATATAGTTTGTAAAAAATAATATGGATAAGGAAATGCAATGTTCAAATTTAAGAATGCATATTTAACACCAGCTGTATTTCAGTAATATTTACCACCGAGGCAAGACCGAGTTATTGATAAATACGAAAATGGAATGACAAATAAAAAATAAAAACAGACATAGAGTATCTGCAAAAATGTGGCTTTTAATTCAACAAAATTGTATCAAAACGGGAGAAACGCGAGTGAAGGATGAACCTTATTTAAAGAGGTGTAACACAATTATACAAAGTAAGAAAAAAAAAGAAAAAAAATAAAAACGACTCAATTCCCCTACAATCCGCGCCAGAATCGTAGACCATGTACTTCTCCATTTCGTCAACCGTTAAACAGTCCATGTGAGCGAAATATCTGTGGCAGCCGCTCGCTTCGGCTAATAGTACAAAAATGTAGTCGATCGCGGTCAATAACGCAACACATTTACGTTACACCGCTAATCGAATGTAGAGATACATTGTAATCTAACGTAAAATTAACAATGTTTAACGTCATTGACAAGTATCGTAATGGAAGAATGATTAGCGAGTTATATGGTACATCCGGTAAGTCTCTCGTTATATTACATTACTATCAGATTACACGCGCAATATAGTAGTAATGACAAATAATTATAGCATAATTATTATCTCGCCATTTCAGAATAATCTTTTCTAATATTATCATAACGATACATAATTAAGCGTAATACTTTAACACAATAAACGCACGATGATAATGGTGCTATTAGATTTCCTGAGAATTCTACGTGTTTCATTGAGCCCAGCTCAAAATTGTTATAACGGAGCCCTATCGTGTCTCGCGTAAAAAATTATTGTCATTGTGAAAGCCACAATACAACTCTCACGACTCTAACGAAAAAAACTATGTATACACGTATGTGTACATGTGCTTATTACTAATGCACGATCACGGCCATAATCCTAGCATCTACTGTTTTGGCGATATTATTTTACGGTAAAAAAAAATCGATAAGAGAACCTGTCTCTCTAAGTGAACGTACTAAATAAAAATATATCGTTTTTCTCGAACGTAGTAAAAACTGCGTTCGCAATAGGAACTTTTTTTTGGAACAAACATGATTTTTAATATTTATCTTGTCCTTTCGCACGCACGGTAACGATAATGAACCAATCGTTGCGCGTTCTCAATCGGCGGTGTCCCCGTATTGTCGGACTAATCCTAAGCTGTCCGCGGCTACGCGAGTAGGCACGTCAAATAATCAGCGACCGATTCGTGCTCCCCTTGAGTCGCATAATTTCGTCTCTAAGCGCGAACTGAAAAACTAAGTCTGCACCCTGTTACCCGATGTTCTAGGTCAGGCGGCGCAACGTCGGTTTAACCGGTAGAGTCAAAAAGGAACAAAAAAGAAGAGAACGATGGGCGCGCGAACAAAAAACAATTTTACTGGCCGCACATGTATAGGATGTTTTTCGCACATGTCGCCTCCTTTAGATCATGGTCGTATTTGATATACGGGGACAGTTACTTATTCCGAAATTTGGATTCAATCCTATCACTTGATTTGTCTTCGAGTTCCGCGTCAGAGGTGTGTGATGTGACATCGAGTCTACAGCGTGTTGCCATTGCCAACAGCTGCGGCAGAAGTATCGAAAGCAAACCTGAAAATAAACACGTACACAATTTAATATACGCATAAAGTGGTACGCGACTTGTAGAAAAAAAATTGTAAATGTATACAAAGAACATTATGTCGAAAACAAAAGCACTTATAAAAGATAAAAATTAGAATTCTGTATGAAATATAAATGACCAGAGAGAAGTTGTTTTCATACCACGTCGCGGCAGAAATAATGCCCTTGTTGCACAACGCATACGGAGCATATCGATTCTTCGATATACGGATCCACTTGTACCTGCAATAGAAGAATATTATATCAGAGAGTTTTAAGTTAAATAGTTTTTTTATTTTATATATAATTTTATCCAGCATACCTTTTTTGTAAATTTGTCAGTTTTAATTTCTATGAAGGAAGCGGTGATTGCTTTAAAATACGATTGTTTCGTACTGAATGTAACACGGCCGGACCCTATTGGATATTTATACTTATCCGTGTCTATACCTAATATATTATTTACTTTTATTAATTTTTTAAATATATACGCGTGCAGAAATTATTTATACAATATAAAATTTAATATAAAGATAAATATAAAATTAAAAGTAAAGTATATTAAAAGTAAAATATATTATAATCATATGAAATAAATAATGATAATTACCTGCGTAAATAACTCCATGGAAAAGATCGTCCATAACTTTTGCTAGTCCTGCGGCCGTTAACATTCCGTGTAGCGCACCAACAAATACTGTTTTGTGTGCATCGAGTCTTTGTGATGATGATTTAATGTAATTACTATTTTCGAGAATCCACGGAATCACTTGTACCTAAAATAATGAAATATATGAGATTCAATTTTAATAATACAATTCCAATGCATGACGTTATTAACGTACATCTTTCGGCTTTGAACGCTTGGATATAATTTTGTAATACCATCTTTTTCCATTGGTAATATCATGGGTGCAACAGGACAACATTGCCCTGACCTAAAAATAGTTTATATAATTATGTTATCTACGATTAATCCACCTTAACAAATATTCATTATCAAATTAATACTCAATAAAAATGTAATAATTACACACCTGTTTCTCTGATTCAAATATAATATAAGCGTATCCTTTTGGCTGAGCGGATGGTGCTTTTGCGGGCCATTCTACACGGACTGGCCCGAATTGCTTAAATGTTGAAATTAAGATAGCTTCTGTAACATCCCATGGTACACCTCCTAGAAAAACTTTAGGAGAGTAAGCGACTGGCTCTTCGATGCTTTGAGGCAGAAAACCACTCCATGTACATGTTGGATAACAATGTGCTAAAATAAATAGATCAATTTATTCCCCAATATCTATCATTCAATTAATATATTCAAAAATTAATTCAAAATTTTTTTGTACAAACTAAAATTCTTAAAAATTTAGATTAAAAACAAAAAATTTTATTCATAAAAGGTTTATCGTTTTTAGTTTGAGACTCAAAGCTTAATATTGCGATGTCTTTAACAAAAAGATTAATGATCGTCTTTGTTAAATTCGTTAAAAAATGTCTCATTAGTATATAGAACATTTACAGTAATCATGTATTATTTGGATAATTTATTGTATTGTATACTTAATAAATAATTACAATAATGAAATAAATGCAAAAGTTATTACATATATATACATCTTTTATAAATAGATACGCGCGCGCGTGTGTGTGTGTGTGTGTGTGTGTGTGTGTGTGTGTGTGTGTTCGTTCGTTCGTGTGTACTACATGTATATACGATACGCACCAGCAGCATTTCGGTGAGACCTCGCTACACGATCGAGCGACACTGGTTGGGTCAATCTGCGCGCAGCGTTTCCAAGTCCAGTACAACAATTTTTCTCGTGACTCAAGAGAGAATTGAGAAAATTACTGCGATTTTGCCCGAGTCCGTGATGATGCTGGTAATAATGCGAGCTCGTTGAATTCTGTTGTAACGATGACAAGTATTTTTTTACAGCCATACGCTCAAACGCCGTTCTATTGCTTGGGCACGTGTTTGTTTTTGATATTATAGAGTCCAAAGACGGCGGGAAGCAAGAATTCGATGAAGAATTCAACGACAAACAATTCTATAAATAAGCGTTTTTAACAGTAATACTTAGGAAAGAAAAAAAGATATATTTATTCAGGTGATGAAATATTTTTGTAGGAGAAACCTCTCACCAATATTATGTCAGATAAGGAGCCATCAGCGCTACCAATACCACTTGTCTCCGAGTCCGCCGGTGAATTGGAACGCGAGCCGTTACATCCCAGAAGATGAGAAAATTCCAATGTTGGGCTATCACAATCACTAGTACCAATAAATTATCATTTGTGGGATATACGAAATACGTCGGAATTCGATAAATATCCATCAAAATTTAATAGTATTTTACAGTATAATTAATTCAATTATGCACATTAATTTAATATAGCTAATAGAATAGAATTAATACTTTTTATATTTGTATAGAAATAGCAAATGTTGAAATTCAATATTAATTTAAATATTTGGAAAAATGCTATTTTGTAAGATATATTTTATATTACTCAGTTATACACAAAAATGGTTATACACAACTTTTTTGAAACCTGAAAAAACGAAGTGTTTTCCAATGGATTCTTATTCACTGAAAATAAATCTGGCCGCGAAATTGACCTAGTACATCAAATTTCTAAGAAAATTAAGGTCAAATATAAATCAATAATTGCCGCTTTAAAGTGCTATTTTTTACCTATAAAATAAATAAATTTATATTTATCACGGTACAATTACTTTATGTCTGCTGTGTGCATGTGTACTATCAGAGATTCCATGTAATTACGTTTCCAAATATTTTTACTAAACAGATACTAATAACTACGTAGTTTACGCACTTTGGCATCTTAATTATCCAGTGAAATTGTTTATTTCTATTATATTTAATGTACTTACATTTTAACTATACATTTATAAGTAGTTTATAATAATCATTTATAATAATCATATTATATCTATTCAACTTAATGATTTATAATATGCTAATTATGCATATGAAAAAAATTGTACTGTAATAAATATAAATTTATTTTATAGATAAAAAATAATACTTTAAAATTGCGTAAACAAGATTGAAAAAAATTTACTCTAGCCGTAAAAATGTGGTAAATATGACAAAAAACTATTTTGATCTCTCACTTAATCTCAATTTCAAATCTGACGTTTTAGATAAATTCCGCAGCCAGATTTGTTTTCAGCGAACAAAGTTAATCGAAAAACACTTTGTTTATTTAGAATAAAAAAAGTGTCGAACTGTGTATCAGATTTTATGCTTTTGCGATGCTTTATTCTCAGTTCACTAATTCTTTAATCACCTGTACGGTGTAGAGCAGCCTCGTATAGGACGACCGAAATATGATGAATCGGTAGGTGATGACGAAGAGCCCGGATATTGGAATGACGGTCGACTGGTTGGTGAGGACGGCGTGTTCGTACTGGTACTGGCAGTGGACGAATAGCTGTAAGGATCTGAAGTAAAGCTGCCAGGTGTGCTCGGGCTACCGGGAGTGGTCATTGAATTCGGTGAACTTGGAATATCCAGGCCTGAGGTATTCGAGCAGAAACCGTGATTCCGATGACACTGCTTGCACAAGTAATACGATAATTACACATCGAAGTCAAGTCGTGATATCGACAGAATAAAAAGTCGTCGTCGAAAATAACTTTTGAAGTTTTGACTACTGTATTTGTCGTAGACAAATCGCACTTCTCGTGACTACTGCAAGATAAAAAATCGACACTATCTCTATGTATTCAAGAATCTCAACGCTATGAGAATACAAAGATTAATATGCTACGTTGACACATTAATCTTGTAGAGAAACGACGTAGAGAAATAAATTTTGTAAGTTTAGAATTTCATATCTAGTTAAGCAGCATACCAGAATTTGCATTACAAAGAGATAATAAGAAGAGACAGAAGAAGAAATGTTCTCCGCATACATATATTTTGGAGTACTTGGAATACATCCAAATTGAAACGCAATATTACGCGACAGTGCGAGAGTGCGAAGGGAGTGCGATCTTTTGAAATGGTAACAATTTTGTGTCGGCTCAGATTAAAGGAAGACGAGACGACATGCATTCTAATAGAGCCGTTTGGCTCGAAGCAATGGATTCTCGACCGACTATCCAGATTGTCTTAGCCATACATTTTATTCAAGTATTTACATATTTGATTCAAATTCTTGATTAAAGATCTGATATAAACAAAGATCTGAATATATTCTTCGATATACTTAAATATTTGATGTACGTCGTAACCTGAAAAGTAATAAATAACAAATAAAATTCTTATTAAAAAAAAATCAGTTGCGGATTTGCCACGAAATAAATCGTTGAAAGGAAACATACTAGTTTTGTGACATCCATATAACACAATACAAACACTGACTGTTAGGCGCTGAAATCAGGAAAAAGAGATGGAATATAAGGCAGTTGGAGTTATTCCAATAGGAATGTTCATTGTTCGGGTTATTGCACCGCCGAGTAAATGCCTCTAGCAGTATGTTTTATGTTGAGTTTATCATCTTTATTGTCGTTTTCCACGTAAAATTTACAATTTACTAAAGTTATCACCGTATAGTCGCATTTTTTTATCAAACCGTTGTAGAGTCGGATGTATTCTTATTTCATAGTGAGAAGTATTTTCGAGTAGTAATAATAACATCAGAGTATCAATATAATTTTCCGTGAAATATTATCAATGTAAAATAAAATGCAATAAAATAATATAAAATTGAGCAAACATATATATGTATATACACACATTCTTTCTCATACGACAAACTTTCTGCTTGAAAGATGAAAACTTTATTTGGAAGTGAATAAAAATTTATTTGGAAATATACGCAGAAAATGTTTATTTCATTAATTTATGAATAACTTTATAGTTCATTTTTTCTTATGTAATTTACTGCATCATCTTCTATCGATTACCAGATTGCATCGTCTCAGCTTAGGATCACCTCGCAAGATTTTTATACTCTTTATACTACGTTATTTTGTATCTCAATCGTAATGAACCTTATCACGAAGCGACAGTTGTATCAACTCCTACTGATCCACCTACTTTACTACTATAATCCAGTTGTAATAAAAACCGCGTTAAATATCTTTATCGTATATAGTTTGCTATGTTCTCAATTAAAGCATCACTCAAACGTATTCGTCACAATAAAAACACAAACTCCTCATTACTCTCAATAATGTCAATAAGAAATCCGAAGTTCTTACATGAAACAAAAATCTCATAGATCCATGTGTATAATTTACCTCGTGTTGTAAAGATCCTTGCGTTTGGTCGTAACTGCTGTACTGATAATTACGATAGCTTGAGGAACCGATCGTCGATTGATTTCCCATCAGAGATCCTCGAGGTAAACCCAGTCCGAACATATCAGAGATTGCGCTGTCGCCTATAGGAAAAAAATTATTAGGATCACCGCGCACTTTTTGGAACCGTAATCGTAAGACGTAAAAATTAGTCAATCAGAGCTGAAAAATTTTTAATAATTCTTGACTGTAATTAGCTGATTCTTACAGTACGTCTTACGATTACTATTGCGAAAAATGTGTGCAACAGTCCTTACTTCAATCACATAAAGAAAAATGAAAAAATGTCACGATAAAGAATAAAGAGGCTCAAAAAATTTCTTGAAGGCAAAATAGAGCCAAGATAATTAAAAAATAATGTTTTGGAACAGCTGGTTCTTATATTGAATATATTACAGAATTCACATTTTTGTGTTAAGAGAACATAAACTCTTAGGAAGCACTAAAGTTTTTATTAGTTTTATATATATATATATATTTTTTTTTTAAGAATTAAGTTTAAAATTGTAAAAAATAAAATTGTGTGAAAATTAATCTAAATCTACTACTTAAAAATTAAGAAAATTCCCAGAGTCACAATTACAGATTAAGACCTTAAATATTATAAACCAGAGAAGAATCGTGAAAAAATTAATCATATTATTCTTGAAATAAGAACAGACTATGAATAGTCCTAGTTTCTAAGAGAATCTTCAAAGTTTCTGATAATTTTACTTCATCATCGACAAATCTTTAAACTGGAGTTGACCCAATTGAAGTAAATCTCGAGAGCGGGACAAAAAGACTCCGTCTTACCATCAATGCTGACGTTCTTGTCCGACTGGGAGGCGTCCTGCGAAAAATTTGGGAGATGCGATGGCGATGGCGGCGTTGGCAAATCGAGCAGCAGATTGTTGATCGATTGCAACTGATGCAATCTCTCACGCTCCTGTTCGCGTTCCTTGCCTCGCTCTCGCTCGCGGGTCTGGCTTAGTTTACGCAGCAGCAACTTGCTGCGCTCTCGGTTTTGTGTTGCATCCTGATGGTGCAGCGAATCCTGATGATGCATCGGTATGCCTTGGTCGAATCCGATGTCCGTCTCGTCGCTCTCGTCGTTCACCAATGTGATGTCAGACTGCAAAATCGATGTTTACTTTGTCAATTACTGTCCCGCGTGTCTTAAATAATAATATTCTATCGAATGTTTCAACCTATGTAAAACACAGTCATAATGATATCATATCATCATGACTCCATTTATTACTTAGAGATGGCAAATAAGGTCGAGACGTCCTCATGGGTGTAGGACTTCAATCACGGAGGGGGGAGGACAAAAATTTATAATCTATATACAAAACTTGTTAAAATGCTGATATTAAAGTCAGGCTTCGAGAATCTTCAGCGAACTTTCATTACGTGTGAGCCATAAATTGGACGAGTGTTTAATTTTTCATCGTAAAAATGTTTAACTGTGTGTTAGTTGAGTACGTGAATGGAAATTGAATACGCGTAAAGCTGATTTCACCGTGAAAGTAATTCGTCGTAGTTCGACGCGCGCGATATCAAATTCCCTTTTACGAAAGCGGAATGTCACGGTGGTTTACACACTGTTGAAAATTGGACTCTTATAAAAACATGCGTTTTTCAAAGTCCTTCACACATCCTTTCCACACTCGCAGTTGTTTGGAGAACTCAAAATACCATCCGGTTTCCCCATAAACTTTCGACGTCTTGTAGGTTCTCGCTTTCAATTAGGTATGAACAGATATCCTAAATTACCCACGATTGACATACAAAACAGTTACAAGCAATACGACATAGACCTACTTACAATTTATAAACAGACGACTAGCATACCTCCAATATATTAGAGTATTACGGTGTTCCTCGATCGCACTCGTAGTTCGTCTGTTTTCCGAGATGCTCGTGATCATTAACGGAGAAAGCGGCACATTTTATCCCGAAAATCGGACACAAACGAATCTTCCTCTGTCACGCGTGAATTATGCGAGCGGCGCCGACAGACTGCGCGGCGCGAACGAAATCGAAAACAGAGCCTTCTGAACGAACACAGCCTTCTGAAGGACGCCGCCGCTGGCGCGGCGCGGCGCGCGCGTTTATGGAATTCGCAACAAAAAAAAAAAAAAAACAAAAATTCTCTTCAGAAATGGGGGGAAGCGCCGGAAAACACATTCCGCAGCTTTTCCCGGAATTTCGGCTTTCGAACCGCCACGGGGCACCGTGGGGGTCATCAGTTCGATTGATTTCTACGTCGTTGCGTCGTCCACAGAATCCGTCTCGTCCGGGAAATGGCTATTTCTTCATTTCTACATTCTTATGGCTTAATGCTTAATTCATGGTTGTCATTACGACGATAGAAACGTATACCTTTGTAATCAAAAGAGAAAGCAAGAGAAAAAGAGAAAGAACGAAGAGCGGGAAGGAGGGAAGAAGGGTGGGGGGGGGGGGGGGGGGGGGGAAGAGGGATGCATTTCAGCACTGTATTGTGATATCCTTAAAGAAAAAGAAAAAGAGAGGAAAGAGAGAAAATTCAGCTATTGGAACACAATCATGGTGTAGTATAATCTATAAATATATGGAATCAATTTTAGTTCGAAATTACAAAGCAATGAAAAGTAATAGAAAGGTCAAATACGAACAAATAATGAGATCACAAAGAAACTAGTTTATTTAAACATTAAAAAACAAGGAAAATTAAAACCAGTTTTTGAAATAATTAGACGATATAGGAACTCGACACTTCACTTATATTCATTTCTACCAAGCTCAATTTACAAGCAATATGATAATTCAATTTTAATCTCGGTTTAATTAACTCTTTACCTTTTCCTAGTTCTAAGAATTAGAGAAAGATGAAAAATAAGTTGAACCAAGAATAAAGTTAATCTACATTGGTAGAAACAGTCTTCCTCACAAATTAAAAAATTATAATAGAATATATAAATATAAATACAATTCTCCATTTTCGCCGAGGTAATTAAGTATTCTGACGATATCGTGATAAAACGGGTCTTATTATGCGAATAATTTATTACTGCAGACTCATTTTAGATCTTCGGACACGCAATCTTTTCTCAAAACGAACTGCTTTATTCCGTAAGTTGACGATATTACAAGGATAAGCAAACAAAATTACATACTCGGTTCCATCAATGCAAGATTAATTTTGATCTCAGTTTAATTTATTCTTTATTTTTTCTAATTTGTAGGATATATTAGAAAAAGATAAACAGTAAGTTAAACCGAGATTAAAATTAGTCTGTAGAACGAATATCAGGCCTGGATTTTCGAAAAACATCGCATACGAAAATGTACGGAAATATTGTAGTATACGTTACGTATGTTATAGATTTCTCAACTCCCTAAATTTCTTAGAGTAAAATCTCACTCTAAAAAAGTGAAAATACTGCTTCTACTAAAAAAAAGTGCTACTCTTGAATAAGAGACAGAATAAGAAACAGATTTTCACTCTTTTGGAGTGAATTTCTTTCCTTTGGAGTGTAAATCTTATTCCAAAAGAATGACATTAATTTTGCCATTCTTATTCAAAAGCGCAAATATTTTCACTTTTTTGGAATTTCATTTCAAGAAATGTAATGTTTCGTATTCTCAAAAATCTTTGGAATGGACTCTTAATTCGATTCAAAGAGTGACAAAAAGTCGCTCGAGCCAGTGTTGAAAAAGAGCGATTCAATTGTCAATTTTTTATAGAGTGAGACTTCACACTCTTCGGAATTAGATTTCACTCCAAAGATTTGAGAAAGTACGAGATACTTTTCGAGAATTACAAGCCCCAGAGATTTACGCGAAACTCGGATAATTCGCCACATTCCCGGGCAATTGGAATTTCGCGGAATTCGTCCGAGGTGTATCGTAATGCGGCGGGGCACGTGTTTACCATGAAAAGCCTCGCGATTACGGAGGGGGGGGGGGGGGGGAAAAAAAAGGAGATCGACCGACCCCCGGATTCTCATTGTACCCTCGAGGATCACGCCGCCGGCGCGGCGCGGCGGAGGGTGCGGATCCACACCTCGGAGAAGTCTCAGATGGCGTGTTACGAATACATTCGCTCAGGAATTCTCACGTATATGTATATCCATTCCGGCGTATCGGCCGTGTTTATTTACGTTTCGCGCGGCGCAGGACATTCCTTTGCGATCGGTACGGCGAGTTAACAAACCGGAACATTCCGCGCCTGTTAAGAGCCCGGGATTGGCAAGGTGGCCGATAGGGATCGCCGAGGTAGAGGAACAGAAAAAAAATACACTCGGGATCCTCGAGCGCGGAATCCGGAAGCTTCTTTTTCTCTTCTGATGTCTATAAATGTCGTGACTTTGTCAATTCTCCCCTTCCTCTTTCCATCTTTAGTGTTCTCTTTCTAGTATATATATTTATATCTATAATACATTAATGTTCATATACTTTCACGCATGGTACAAAAGTACGGGATACGAATGAATCTAATTGAAATCTAAACTAATAAGATCGCGAGGAAATGCATGAACCTCCCTGAAATCCGGGATGATGCCGAAACCTCGGAGTCGCCGGCATTAATTCGCATGGCTAATTAGCCGCAGTCCTCTCATCCCTGCGTGATAATCAATCGCGGATTATTGTAAGACGAGGACTTACCGATTGCATCAGCGTGGGCATAGCCGCGAAGAGCGTCCTGTCACGAGGAAGCCTCGAGGATGCTGCGATGTAGGAGTCACCTCGACACGGCTCACTCCCGCACGGTCTCAAAGGACACGAGCGAGTAGGAGCCGACTCGATCCCGTCCGCCACTAACAACAACGCGCGGTTAAGCGATGGACTTCACGCTGCGCGCTCCACGAGAAGTTACGCGCGAGTGACGACGGACGACGGCGACCGGCGGCGGCGGCGCGGCGGCGGCAGCGGCGAGGGGTGGATTCTCGGAATTGAAGAGAGCGCGGTGGGAGGCCACCACAGGCCACGTGAATGCTCGTGACGTCCGCCACTGCCTGCCACTGCCCACTCACCGTTTCCCTCGGATAAATGAGGATCATCTTGGTTCCGTTTTCTCTAACTTATTGCCGATGATACACACGACGGCGAAAACGGAACGCCCATGCTTGTATTTTGTACATACCACCTACCCCACTGCGAGTTCAACTAATGATCTTTACTCTTTCACTCCTTTCCTCTTTGCTCTCCTTCTTTCACTTTTTACTGTTTCTTATCGTTCTCTGAATCTATTTTTCTGTGTTTTCCATAATTTTATTTTATTTATTTTTATTTTTTTTTTATTCTTATACATGTATAAAGAAGCTTGCCCTGAAATATTAACCTGAGTACACTCGATTGTGCCATTTGTAACTTGTTCGTTTCTTTCCCTCAAAAAATTTGGAGCATAAAAACGCTTTATCTTTCTTTCACATTCGCGTCCTCTTTCTTTTTCTTCATCACACCACTTCGAGAATTACATGCTTTTTTGTTGTCTCTTTTGTAAAAAAAAAGAAAAAGAGATTTAGAATTAAAACAAAAGCTTAAAGATCATTTGAGATTGTATTTGTACGTAAGAAAAGTGCCTTTTCTAGAAAATTACAGTTGATTCTTTTAAATGATTAGAATCGTCTTTACATTCTTTATTTTTCAAGCCAACAAATTTGTTACAGACATCAACGATAGCATCTTGCTACTTTATAAGATGTATCAAAATTATAATATATATTCTATATATATATTCTATATATATATATAGAAAAGAAGATATATACACGCTATTTACAATTATTTTACTACAATGAATATCTCTAAAGACTGAATACTTTTTAAATGAAGCTATTGCTTTGTTTAATATGAGTAAATCACTGTTATTTTTATCATAATAAAAAAATGTTGCTTAATTATACTCTATATGTGCGGTCGAGGAATCTAACATTTCAACTTCAGAACTATCACCGTTCGAGTAATTAACTACTAGTACGTCCCGCGTTTGTTGCTCTGTCAGCTTACTAGCTTGTAGCGTACTACTAGTTTCCCCTTTACTGGAATTCTCTCCCCAGCTCCCAGAGAATAGATTTACTCTTAATTTATCGATATTTTGATCGCTCGAGCTGCTGCCCACGTTGCTAGGATTTTCCAGAGACAGTCTAACTTCACTATCCTCAGGTAATCTGGTTTCACTCTCCACAGATTTATACTTCGGTATCTCTATAGGTGCATCTAAAAAATTAAAGAAATCTCATATTTAAATATAAATTTAAAAGTATAATGTATAAAAATTAAATTAATTATTGCGAAATGGACAGTTAAGGATATATCAGGTCTCTACTATCTCTGCAAAAAAATTAATCATTACAAAATTGAAAATTTGTGCTTTCAGTATAAAAATGAACGTTGTATACATATGAAACAGTTTAATAAAGTCAATATTTATATTTACTCTTTAAAACTTTTAAGAGTGAAATCTCACTCTTGCAGATTGAAAATTGAGCCACTCTTTTTTTAAGAGTAGATCAATTTTCACTCTTTAGATTTCATTCACACACAAAGAGAATTTAGAAAATAGTATAATTTTAGTTTAAATAAAAATGTTCTCATGTTATCTCTCTTAATTATGTTTAAATACATATATCTACTTTTTATTGAAATAATTTTTGATCCAAGATTTAAATCGCTTCTCTTTGTATTACTTTCAAATATGATACAAAAAAATCTTTAAATTGTCTTGCAAAGAATTACAAGTATTAATCAATTTTTTTCTAATAATGTGTAACAATGTGAATTTTAAAACAAATTTGTTATATAATTGACAATTTTTAATATTATTTTATAACTCTCTTTTAACGTTATCCTTTCTGTAATATCGATTTAAATATATACGAACCAGGATATGGAGGTGCCTCATCAATCAGCTGTTGCATGACATAACCCAACATGGTTGCGGTAAATGTATCGTCTCTTCTAAGACCGAGCGCCCTGTGAAAAGCATCCACTGCCTCTTGAATATTACCCATTAATGCATGAATAAATCCGATTGATGAATAAGTCGAGGGGTTTAGAGGATCTAAGACTAGTGCTTGTTGATGATATTCTAGTGCCTCATCATATTTTTTCATTTTTCTACAAGTATGGCCCAGATTATTCAGTAGGGCTTCCCACTTACTAGGCAGAATCACATTCCTTAGGTCGCCTTGAATGCTTTTCATAGCTTCCTTAAATAATCGTTCTGCATTTTTGTAACTGTATTTAACAAGAATAATTTTTGTGATAATTTATTGTAAATTAAGTAAGCATATTTGTGATTTGTTTTTTAAATATAAGTAAACGTATAGAAGAAAAATTAATATCGAGCTAATACTTACTCTAAATTGTAAAAACATATAACGCCCATTTCGTGTATCACGAATGGATCGTTTGGTGCTATTCCTTGAGCTTGTTGAAAGAACTTGTCCGCCAGTTTTAGATTATTTGTCAAACCGCATTCCAATCCAATATATAAAAGTGGAAGATGGCAACCTTTCATTAATTGTGACGCTTTGAAATAAGCGGCCATTGCTTGATCGTGTTCATTTTCAACTGCAAAAGAATGTCCATATGCCAACCAAGCAGGACCGAACAATCTGTCCAGTACAGTAGCCTTTGCCAAATATCTTCTTGCTTGATCACTTTTGCCTACAGTACAGCAAATTATAAACACTATTAAGTAATTTCAAACGTGTTTTTTTTTTATTTGCAAACCTATCAGAAAATCTTCATGTGAATTTAATATTTTTCTACTATTATTATCTTATCTTGTCTTTTACTAAATAGTAATCACTTACCTATGGTATAATAATAGCATCCAACTGCAAACCATGCTAAGGCCATTTCTGGATATAAATCAACTAATCTATGCGCCAGATAAAACAGAGCTAAAGAATAAAGTTTTATTGTTAACGAGTTCTAGCATCGTTTATTTATTGCACAATAAGATTGTAAACTTACCATTAGTCTTCTTAAGTTCAACTAAACAGGCAATGTGCACTGGAAGACAGGAATTGTGGTATGGATCTTTTTTTAAGATTCTAAGCATTAAAAATATCACGTTACATTTTGTTATAGAATATGAGAATAATATCTTGAAATGGTACTTACTTTTCCGTAAGAGAGAAACATTGATGATAGTCACAATTGTAATATAATTTCTCAGCTTTTGCAACTTCCATGTCCAAATTATGTGCTAATCTATTAGTGAGACAAATGCTCATTACATTACATTTACTTAATGACTGCTTTCTGTTTGGGTCTTGATACTTCTTTAATTTGCTATCATACAACAATCGCAAGAGTTCTGCTTCGCCTTCCGTACATTGTTCAGTGAATGGTAAGGATTCTAATAATTCCCGCTCTAAATTAACAATACAAACATGTACAATTTATCTAAAAAAAATTATACCGTATCTGGTAGAATATACCTTCAGAAGCTGAAAGCATCTGATTTTGCACCAAAGCTTCAAATGCTTCATATGAATAAACATCGCACTGTAAGGCTTGCTTATAGCACTCTGTCGCAACCGCTCTATTATCCATAGCTTCGTATACTCTTCCTTTTACATATAATATTGAACTCTGAACCTGTATAAAGATTGTTATCTTAAATTCTAATGTAGTAGTATAGCTGTATAGTGATCAAAATGATATAATACAAATTAACATATATATATATATATATAATATACAATTGTGTATATATATAATATAATATATATCTGTATATGCTGTATATACACACATACACATATATAGGTATAAAAAGTACTGGTACATTTTTTGGAGCATCGTGGAAAATATCCATGCGATCAGGAAAGGTAATTCCTGCTTGTGTTATGTTCGTGCATATTTCAGATTCATTAATAACTTGAAGCGCATCGTTATATTCCTTTGCTTCCAGCAGACACCTCACGGTTAAGTAATGGCACATTACATCACGCTGTATCAATGGAATATTACTTAATAAATTATGTATTATAAAATACAATGATCAATGTATTGTAAAACGAGATAAAGTATGAACTGTATTCAGGTAAAATCAAAATTACCTTTTGTAATCCATATCTTTTTATAAGATGTGCAGCACGATGATACTGTTTCATAAGGTACATACATTGTGCCAAAGTGCATATATCTTTTGGGTTCTCATTGCTCAGCGATACTACTTTGTCAGCCCAAAACAAGGCGGCACTATACAGGTGCTAAAAGTAAATGCAAAGTTTTTTTCAACGGCCGTAATGGTAGATAAAGTAATTTTACTTTAATGATGCTCACCAAATCGATATACGATTTAACTAATTTTCTACAATTTTCCAAGTCAATAATCTCGTCCAACATATTATGGACACCATTATTATCGGTATCGCAATGTGACATGTTTAATTCCAGTTTGCTTCAATTTTATACGTAGGTTAAATAGGTTAGAATTAATCAACGGAGCAACCTAAATACGTAGGCGGTAGGAGTAACAAAGATAGACCAACTACACACATCTCTCGTGATAGCACTATAGCAGTTTCTTGTAAACAGAGGACCGTATTTCACTACTGCCAATATAAAAAATTTATAATTATCGTAAAGGCCGCAGCACACACTTTTGCATAACCCATAAACATGTGCATAAGGAATTTCATTGGCCCCATTTTCTTATGCATGAGTCAATGGACCAATCAAATTCTTTATGTATATGGTTTATGCGTTATGCAAAAGTGTGTGCTGCGGCCTTTAGTTGAATAAGTTTTTCCAACAGCGTGGTGGATTTCTATGTTTCTTCTACCATTGGATCAGAGTTCAAGAACTGACTAGTGACCCTCTAATAAGAGTCTGGACACGTGAAG